GAGCATGTGTATAAAGTGACTGTTCTTATTTGTTATATCAAACAACTTCAGAGAGTCACAGGAGCAGAAGCCGACACACAACGACCACAAACACACAACTAACTTCGAGACGAGACACATAGAGACACACGAAGAGTAGATCCTCCACCACACACATGCAGGTGGAGTGAATGCAGCATCAAGCATCAAGTGCAGAAAGTAAACAACTAAATGAACATTGAACCTTTAAATACGAACATCTGTTCATAGATTCAAGGTTTTTTGAACTTGTGTTTTGTTTCCACCTGAGTTCATCTGTTAACGCGTCACTTCCGCTGAGAGATGTTTCTAATGGTTCTGAACTGTAGTAACACAGTTTCACCACAGGGTGTCAGCAGCAGCTGTTGACAGAGAAGCTGCTGCACTGTGAAAACATGGCGGCCTCCTTCGAGAGGACCCCCTCCTGATGTAGAGATAAAGTATTTAAAGATAAAGTATTTAAAGATAAAGTATTTAAATATAAAGGGGCACTTCTAGGGTAAAGAAACAACAATTTGAACAATCTAGATGAAAACCACTATTGAGAACATTGCTAGGATTAATTCATATTAAATTTCTGCCAATAGATCCTTTCACCTTAATCTTACACTCTGGACCTTTAAGTTAAACTGAGACAGGTCAAGTTAAGTTTTGTGTTATAAGGTCAATTTCTATTTCATTATTTATTCCTCATTTTCATTTTCATTGGGGGAATTAAAGTCAAAATACAGATGATGCAATTTATTATTATTATTTTAATTAATGAGCAGCTACTCTTAAGGAGAAACACGGAGCACTTTCAGAATAAAAGGCTGGACGATCACTTCCTGCAGCGGGCAGGTGCTCGTGTACCTGAGCGGTGCAGTGACGCGTCTCCTGCTGATGTTATGTGCAAATGAAGCAGCCGATGTAAACCCACACGTTCTGAAGGATGAGCAGGAAGGCCAACAGGTAGAAGAGCAGAGTGACAGCCTGGAGAGAGATGGAAACAGAGGGGGGGCAATACAGGGAAGAAGACAGGAAGAAATGTGGGGGGGGGTGAAAATGAAGGAAAAGACGACGGGGTGAGATGAAAAGATTGAAGAGATGGAGGATGGAGCTTTATGTTTTGTTCTTCTACTTTATGTGTCATGGTTTTCATCCGTCCTCCATCTCAACACAGACAGAGACCAAGAAGAAAGAGCTGGTGATGGTTCAGACTGAATCTGAAAAACAGAACGAAAGAAAGAAAGAAAGGAAAGAGAGCGAGAAGGACGGAGGAAGGAGAGCGGAGGTGCAGGCAGCAGAGGAGTGACAGAGCCTGGTCGGTGATGGTAACCACGGTGATGATGAAACCAGATGACACTGACCTGGAGGGAAACACAGGACGTTAATTTCTCTTCACTTTCATCAACACTCTTCCTGCTGTTCTCTCCATCCTCCAGAAACCCTGAACCAGCCGGGTCTTCTCCAGTCGTTCGTCCACAGATTTCCTCCCTGGTCTCCACATCGTCCCT